GTTGCCAACCGTCCCTTAAAATACGGAATCGTCCCGTATTTCGAAACAAAAGTACACGTCCCGTATTGAGCAATAAGGGACGCACTTTGTCCCGTAATACAGTGAGAATCAAAAGTAGTCTATAAATGTTTATGGAATTAACACTTTGTTTGAAAACATAATTCCCAGCCCCTCTCCTGCTTTGTGACCAATGAGCTGACAGCACACTTATGACAATTCGAGTATGACAATTCAGATTACCGCTCATCTCATTGGTCGAGGAAAGGTCGCTTACGGAGAAAATACCGGAAGACAACAGATGACCACAACAAGAAGCATGGCCAACAGGGAAACAAACGCCGACACTGCGGTGCAAGTCTCGGACGACAGTACACCTAAAGCTGGGCAGACACTGTGCGATTTTTTCAGTCGCGTTATTCAGCTCCTGCTCAAACTGCACGATTGACTCGCAGGGGTTAGAAGTTGGTAGGTCACGATGCAGGTCTCACACTATACCGCCCGATGCTCTGATGCGACCTGAGTGCTCACACTGTGCGTCCATAAAATAAGGTTATAACAGAAAATCTGTCGCTCGCTCTCCTCTCTGTCTTTCACTCACACAGACACACCACCACCATCAACTTTGCTAAATTGCTAATGAAAAACATTGATCAGGCAGCTGTGATTGAGCAGCAATGTAAATCCAACTATTTTCACGGTTGTTGTGGTCGTGATAATTTTGTGATGCCACATGAAAAGGCTCGGATGAGCTTTCCAAAGTTCTACAAGTTGTGCCTCCATCGCTTGTGTCCAGATCACACGCTGCACAGCCGTGCTGCTCCGTCTTTTTCACCGACGTTTACGTGTTTGCGCGCGAGCAGTGTGAGCGGCTCACGAGCGATTGATGATCGGGAGCTGGTCGTGAGGTGTTAATCACTTCTCGTTACCCCACGTATACTACACGACGCACGATGAAGGCCAAAATCGGTCCGATCACTCAAAAATCGTCTCAAAATGGGCCTAAAACCGCACAGTGTCTGCCCAGCAAATGTTTGTTCCCCTCAGAGAAAGGGAAGAATGGGAAAAGGAAAACACCTGGCTGGAAAAAGTTAATATGGGCATGTGCAGTGAATATCAGCGCTATGTGGCCAGAAGTGTGATAATATAACTTATTTTGTGTAATAAACAACTGCAAGGATAGATGATTACAACAAATAGATGACTAATACATAAAAGTAATACATAGATGAATAATGATGATGAGTTAAGATGCGTAATTCATGGGAACAAGCTGGGTTTACAAACAGGAGCAGCTGATTAGATATACCTCAAGCTGAAGCCAATTGTACTAAATGCACTAAATGTGCACTGTTACAAGAATGTTTTTCTTTCTATTTTTTCTATTATTTTAAGTTAAGCAGGACAGAGTTCTTTTAAAGAAAGATTTACTTATATTCTCAAAAGTTAAGCATGACAGGCTTCTGTTTAAGAAAGAGACCTGTTTTATTGTGTTAATGTTGTCATTTTGAGCTAAAAATAAATGGCTAAATGATCATTTGTTTCACATGTGTTCATATCACAAAGAATACACATCTGCTTAAATCAAATTCAAGTCAAATGGTTAAAAAAATAATTTCACACACAAAAAAAGAGCTAGAAAATTCACCACACTGGGAAGGGTGAAGACAACTGGGTCGCCCGGCCCTGGCCACGAGGTGTCCCTTATTTATTTTTCAGGGAGTTGGCAACCCTAGGTTCAACAAACTCAGATTTTTAGCTGAGCCTGCGCAGTGGTTCCTGCCTTCGAAGTGTAAACAACCAAACAAAAAACAAATAGCTGTGACGTCAAGCTCAACAAACACGCGCAAGCTTCAGAGCCGCAACAAGGAGCTGTTACCGGGGACAATCAATAAGCATGTTAACGGTTAGCGCCAGTTAGCATCAGCCAGCATCCTCGGTAAATACGAACGGGCAGCGTGCTTAATGCTAAGGCTGCTCGCTCTGAGAACAAAAACACTCACCGATCTAGGGTCAGATTGCTCCGCTTGACTGTGAACTAGTCGATGAAGCACCACGAATAAATAATCAAGTCCGATGTTCTGATGTGTGTCATCGAGCTGCTAGCTACCATTAACCAATGACAACTTCCGGTTCACTTCTTCAGATCGTATTTATCGTATTCAGTGAGGCGAGACGTCACCGGAACAAAAACACAAATAAAATTAGTAAACAGGTCAGCTCCACTGAGTCTGAATATTAATAAAGTTTATAATAATTACCTGATAAATAAAATAAAAAATAAGCTAAGCGCTGTGTCGCGTTCACGTGTTTAACGAATGTCCTCCTACAACTGATTAAAGCGCAGCTTTCATTCCAAACATGACTCATCAGCAAAGTTTGACCCCTGAAACTTTAAAGCTCGTTATTGTAAACTATTACTCAGTTCCGGTGTGTAGATCAGAGTTCCACATGACCAGGATTTTTTGATAAATAAATCATAAAGCGAACCTGAAGGTAGTAGATGTCCGCGATGACGTCATCGAGGAAGATGGCGTCGCTGCGGACAGAGCTGAGGCTCAGAGATGGGCAGAGGCAGACGGTCAGCGTGCAGGTAGAAACACACCTTAGCTCTTTGATACGCGGAATCTCCGAGCTGAACCAGAACGTGTCGCAGCTGCTCAGCGAGCTTGTTGAGCGTGAAAAAGTATGCGCACAAGGTGAGCTACAAAAAACTACCTGTGAACAGGCGTAACAGAAAGATAGCTAGATGTGCTGAACGAGCTTCTAGGCCTCTGCTTTATTAACAAGGGCTGCTAACGTAAATCTGGCAGAGGTGTTAAGGTGAGCTGACTGGGTAGGGTTGCCAACTCCCTGAAAAATAAATAAGGGACACCTCGTGGCCAGGGCCGGGCGACCCAGTTGTCTTCACCCTTCCCAGTGTGGTGAATTTTCTAGCTCTTTTTTTGTGTGTGAAATTATTTTTTTAACCATTTGACTTGAAGTTGATTTAAGTAGATGCATATTCTTTGTGATATGAACACATGTGAAACAAATGATCATTTAGCCATTTATTTTTAGCTCAAAATGACAACATTAACACAGTAAAACAGGTCTCTTTCTTAAACAGAAGCCTGTCATGCTTAACTTTTGAGAATATAAGTAAATCTTTCTTTAAAAGAACTCTGTCCTGCTTAACTTAAAATAATAGAAAACAATAGAAAGAAAAATATTCTTGTAACAGTGCACATTTAGTGCATTTAGTACAATTGGCTTCAGCTGAGGTATTATTTCAGCTTTTCTAATGCTAATCAGCTGCTCCTGTTTGTAAACCCACTTGTTCCCATGATTACGCATCTTAACTCATCATCATTATTCATCTATGTATTACTTTTATGTATTAGTCATCTATTTGTTGTAATCATCTGCGCCCCAGGGTGGCTGTGGCTACAATGTAGCTGCCATCACCGGTGTGTGAATGTGTGTGTGAATGGGTGGATGACAGGTTGTGTAAAAGCGCTTTGGGGTCCTTAGGGACTAGAAAAGCGATATACAAATACAGGCCATTTACCATTATTGTTTCGTTTTATGCAGTTGTTTATTACACAAAATAAGTTATATTATCACACTTCTGGCCACATAGCGCTGATATTCACTGCACATGCCCATATTAACTTTTTCCAGCCAGGTGTTTTCCTTTTCCCATTCTTCCCTTTCTCTGAGGGGAACAAACATTGCTGCTCTAATGCTGGGCTCACACTGTGCGGTTTTAGGCCCATTTTGAGCCGATTTTTGAGTGATCGGACCGATTTTGGCCTTCATCGTGCGTCGTGTAGTATACGTGGGGTAACGAGAAGTGATTAACACCTCACGACCAGCTCCCGATCATCAATCGCTCGTGAGGCGCTCACACTGCTCGCGCGCACGTAAATGTCAGTGAAAAAGACGGAGCAGCACGGCTGTGCAGCGTGTGATCTGGACACAAGCGATGGAGGCACAACTTGTAGAACTTTGGAAAGCTCATCCGAGCCTTTTCGATGTGGCCTCACAAAATTATCACGACCACAACAACCGTGAAATCTTCTCCTGGGAAGGGTGAAGACAACTGGGTCGCCCGGCCCTGGCCACGAGGTGTCCCTTATTTATTTTTCAGGGAGTTGGCAACCCTAGGTTCAACAAACTCAGATTTTTAGCTGAGCCTGCGCAGTGGTTCCTGCCTTCGAAGTGTAAACAACCAAACAAAAAACAAATAGCTGTGACGTCAAGCTCAACAAACACGCGCAAGCTTCAGAGCCGCAACAAGGAGCTGTTACCGGGGACAATCAATAAGCATGTTAACGGTTAGCGCCAGTTAGCATCAGCCAGCATCCTCGGTAAATACGAACGGGCAGCGTGCTTAATGCTAAGGCTGCTCGCTCTGAGAACAAAAACACTCACCGATCTAGGGTCAGATTGCTCCGCTTGACTGTGAACTAGTCGATGAAGCACCACGAATAAATAATCAAGTCCGATGTTCTGATGTGTGTCATCGAGCTGCTAGCTACCATTAACCAATGACAACTTCCGGTTCACTTCTTCAGATCGTATTTATCGTATTCAGTGAGGCGAGACGTCACCGGAACAAAAACACAAATAAAATTAGTAAACAGGTCAGCTCCACTGAGTCTGAATATTAATAAAGTTTATAATAATTACCTGATAAATAAAATAAAAAATAAGCTAAGCGCTGTGTCGCGTTCACGTGTTTAACGAATGTCCTCCTACAACTGATTAAAGCGCAGCTTTCATTCCAAACATGACTCATCAGCAAAGTTTGACCCCTGAAACTTTAAAGCTCGTTATTGTAAACTATTACTCAGTTCCGGTGTGTAGATCAGAGTTCCACATGACCAGGATTTTTTGATAAATAAATCATAAAGCGAACCTGAAGGTAGTAGATGTCCGCGATGACGTCATCGAGGAAGATGGCGTCGCTGCGGACAGAGCTGAGGCTCAGAGATGGGCAGAGGCAGACGGTCAGCGTGCAGGTAGAAACACACCTTAGCTCTTTGATACGCGGAATCTCCGAGCTGAACCAGAACGTGTCGCAGCTGCTCAGCGAGCTTGTTGAGCGTGAAAAAGTATGCGCACAAGGTGAGCTACAAAAAACTACCTGTGAACAGGCGTAACAGAAAGATAGCTAGATGTGCTGAACGAGCTTCTAGGCCTCTGCTTTATTACCTGCTAAACAAATCTAGCAGAGGGTATCAAAGGCACTGAGCCTGACTCGGAGTAGGGTTGCCAACTCCCTGAAAAATAAATAAGGGACACCTCGTGGCCAGGGCCGGGCGACCCAGTTGTCTTCACCCTTCCCAGTGTGGTGAATTTTCTAGCTCTTTTTTTGTGTGTGAAATTATTTTTTTAACCATTTGACTTGAATTTGATTTAAGCAGATGTGTATTCTTTGTGATATGAACACATGTGAAACAAATGATCATTTAGCCATTTATTTTTAGCTCAAAATGACAACATTAACACAGTAAAACAGGTCTCTTTCTTAAACAGAAGCCTGTCATGCTTAACTTTTGAGAATATAAGTAAATCTTTCTTTAAAAGAACTCTGTCCTGCTTAACTTAAAATAATAGAAAACAATAGAAAGAAAAATATTCTTGTAACAGTGCACATTTAGTGCATTTAGTACAATTGGCTTCAGCTGAGGTATTATTTCAGCTTTTCTAATGCTAATCAGCTGCTCCTGTTTGTAAACCCACTTGTTCCCATGATTACGCATCTTAACTCATCATCATTATTCATCTATGTATTACTTTTATGTATTAGTCATCTATTTGTTGTAATCATCTGCGCCCCAGGGTGGCTGTGGCTACAATGTAGCTGCCATCACCGGTGTGTGAATGTGTGTGTGAATGGGTGGATGACAGGTTGTGTAAAAGCGCTTTGGGGTCCTTAGGGACTAGAAAAGCGATATACAAATACAGGCCATTTACCATTATTGTTTCGTTTTATGCAGTTGTTTATTACACAAAATAAGTTATATTATCACACTTCTGGCCACATAGCGCTGATATTCACTGCACATGCCCATATTAACTTTTTCCAGCCAGGTGTTTTCCTTTTCCCATTCTTCCCTTTCTCTGAGGGGAACAAACATTGTTATGCTGGGCATACACTGTGCGGTTTTAGGCCCATTTTGAGACCGATTTTTGAGTGATCGGACCGATTTTGGCCTTCATCGTGCGTCGTGTAGTATACGTGGGGTAACGAGAAGTGATTAACACCTCACGACCAGCTCCCGATCATCAATCGCTCGTGAGCGCGCTCACACTGCTCGCGCGCACACGTAAATGTCGAGTGAAAAAGACGGAGCAGCACGGCTGTGCAGCGTGTGATCTGGACACAAGCGATGGAGGCACAACTTGTAGAACTTTGGAAAGCTCATCCGAGCCTTTTCCATGTGGCCTCACAAAATTATCACGACCACAACAACCGTGAAATCTTCTCC